CTCCTCCTCATCCTCCCCTCCTCCTCCTACTCCTCTCTCACCTCCTCCTCCTCCCTCCTCCTCTCGTCTCCTCCCTCCTCCTCCTCGGCTCCTGCTCGTGCTACTCCTCCTCCTCCTCCTCCTCCTCCTCCTCATCCTCCTCCTGTTCGTCCTCTTCCTCCTTCTCCTCCACAACTTCCTCCTTCTCCTCCCCCTCCTCCTCCTCATCCCTCCGTCTCCTCCTCCTCCTCATCCTCCTCCTGCTCCTGCTGATCCTGCTCTTGCTCCTCCTGTTCCTCCTCCTCCTCCTCCTCCTTTTCGCAGTCCTCCTCCTCCTCCTCCTCCTCCCCTCCTCCTCCTCCTCCTCCTCCGCCTCCTCCTCCTCCTTTTTACCTAACAGCTTTTGCTGATAGGTTTCTAGTGGTCTCAAAAGAGAGCAGCAGATGACTCCACAGGGGGGTCGGGGCGGGACCCGGGGGGCTGCCGCCGCAGCCGAAATCACTTGGGACATCCTCGCAAAATCGCTCTTGGTGCTCCCAGAACTCCATTCCCGGGCCACATTTTGGATGCCCGGAGCCAACTGTAGGCCACTTCGTGCTCTTCGACTTCCCAGAACTCCATTCCCGGGCCACATTTTGGATGCCCGGAGCCAACTGTAGGCCACTTCGTGCTCTTCGATTCCCAGAACTCCATTCCCTGGGCCACATTTTGGATGCCCGGAGCCAACTGTAGGCCACTTCGTGCTCTTCAAGTTCCCAGAACTCCATTCCTGGGCATGATTTTGAATGCCCGGAGCCAACTGTAGGCCACTTCGTGTTCTTCTAGTTCCCAGAACTCCATTCCTGGGCCACATTTTGAATGCTGAGGCAGGCTGATGCTGCGGCCGAGGCAGGCTGAGGCTGAGGCAGGCTGAGGCTGAGGCCGAGGCTGAAGGCAGACTGAGGCTGAGGCTGAAGCAGACTGAGGCTGAGGCTGAGGCAGGCTGAGGCTGAGGCTGAGGCAGGCTGATGCTGAGGCAGGCTGAGGCTGAGGCTGAGGCTGATGCAGGCTGAGGCTGAGGCAGGCTGAGGCTGAGGCCGAGGCTGAAGGCAGACTGAGGCTGAGGCTGAAGCAGGCTGAGGCTGAGGCTGAGGCAGGCTGAGGCTGAGGCAGGCTGAGGCTGAGGCTGAGGCAGGCTGAGGCTGAGGCTGTGACTGCGACTGCCGTTGCCGCTGCGACTGTCATCGCGAATGCGACTACGACTGCGAGAACAGCAGAATTCTACAACTGGATTTTCATCTGAATCTTAAGGGGAATGCTTTCAGATATGCTTCTACACATCGCTGTTAGGTTGCTTTGCCGGGATAATCCTCTTCCTCCACCCCCCTTCCTTCTCCTTATCCTCGTCCTCTCCTCCTGCTACTCCTCCTCCTCCTCCTCCTCCTCCTCCTCCTCTCTCACATCATCATCATCATCATCATCATCATCATCATCATCATCATCATCATCATCATCATCATCATCATCATCATCATCATCATCATCATCATCATCATCATCATCATCACCATCATCATCATCATCATCATCATCATCATCATCATCATCATCATCATCATCATCATCATCATCATCATCATCATCATCATCATCGCATCATCATCATCATCATCATCATCATCATCATCATCATCATCATCATCATCATCATCATCATCATCGTGATCATCAGCATCATCATCATCATCATCATCATCATCATCATCATCATCATCATCATCATCATCATCGTCATCATCATCATCATCATCATCATCATCATCATCATCATCATCATCATGTGATCATCATCATCATCAGCATCATAATCATCATCATCATCAGTTATCATCATCAGCATCATCATCATCATCATCGTCGTCATCGTCATCGTCATCGTCGCCATCATCATCATCATCATCATCATCATCATCATCATCATCATCATCATCCTCATCCTCATCATCATCATCATCATCATCATCATCATCATCATCATCGTGATCATCAGCATCATCATCATCAGTATCATAATCGTGATCATCATCATCAGCATCCTAATAATCGTTATCATCAGCATCATCATCATCATCATCGTCATCGTCATCGTTATCGTCGTCATCATCATCATCATCATCATCATAATCATCGTGATCATCATCATCATCATCATCATCATCATCATCATCAGCAGCAGCATCATCATCAGCATCATCATCATCATCAGCATCATCAGCATCAGCATCAGCATCATCATAATCATCATCATCATCCAGTTATCGCTCATCGTCATCATGAATCATCGTCGTCATCATCATCATCATCATCATCATAATCATCGTGATCATCATCATCATCATCATCATCATCTTCATCATCAGCAGCAGCATCATCATCAGCATCATCATCATCATCAGCATCATCAGCATCAGCATCAGCATCATCATAATCCGCCGGCCCCCTTGCGGGGCCATCAGGCTGCGAGGGTTAGGCTTGCTGCTCCCTGCACCAGTTCCAGTTTCCAGTTTCCATTTTTACCTAACAGCTCTTGCTGATAGGTTTCTAGTGGACTCAAAAGAGAGCATCATGACTCCTCAGGGGGGTCTGGGCGGGACCCGGGGAGGCTGCCGCCGAAGCCGAAATCGCTTGGGACATCCTCGCTAAATCGCTCTTGGTGCTCCCAGAACTCCATTCCCGGGCCACATTTTGGATGCCCGGAGCCAACTGTAGGCCACTTCGTGCTCTTCGACTTCCCAGAACTCCATTCCCGGGCCACATTTTGGATGCCCGGAGCCAACTGTAGGCCACTTCGTGCTCTTCGATTTCCCAGAACTCCATTCCCGGGCCACATTTTGGATGCCCGGAGCCAACTGTAGGCCACTTCGTGCTCTTCAAGTTCCCAGAACTCCATTCCTGGGCATGATTTTGAATGCCCGGAGCCAACTGTAGGCCACTTCGTGTTCTTCTAGTTCCCAGAACTCCATTCCTGGGCCACATTTTGAATGCTGAGGCAGGCTGATGCTGCGGCCGAGGCAGGCTGAGGCTGAGGCAGGCTGAGGCTGAGGCCGAGGCTGAAGGCAGACTGAGGCTGAGGCTGAAGCAGGCTGAGAATGAGGCTGAGGCAGGCTGAGGCTGAGGCTGAAGCAGGCTGATGCTGAGGCAGGCTGAGGCTGAGGCTGAGGCTGATGCAGGCTGAGGCTGAGGCAGGCTGAGGCTGAGGCCGAGGCTGAAGGCAGACTGAGGCTGAGGCTGAAGCAGGCTGAGGCTGAGGCTGAGGCAGGCTGAGGCTGAGGCTGAGGCTGAGGCAGGCTGAGGCTGAGGCTGTGACTGCGACTGCCGTTGCCGCTGCGACTGTCATCGCGAATGCGACTACGACTGCGAGAACAGCAGAATTCTACAACTGGATCTTCATCTGAATCTTAAGGGGAATGCTTTCAGATATGCTTCTACACATCGCTGTTAGGTTGCTTTGCCGGGATAATTACAATACTACTTTCTGCTTCCTACTGTAAATTGTTACTGTCCGCGCGAGGGGGGGAGCCGAAAACCACCCTGTTTAGCGTCCCCCGGGAGGGTTCTCAGAATTCCTGGCGGGGTAAAAATGAACACCCCTCACGCAGATTGGCGGGGTCAGGGTCCAAAAACACAAGGGATTTGCCACATTTCTGAAATTCGGTGGCACCCCTCACGCAGACCGGCGGGGTCAGGGTTCAAAAGCATTTGGAATTTGCCACATTTCTGAAATTCGGTTGCACCCCTCACGCAGATCGGCGAGGTCAGGGTCCAAAAACACAAAGGATTTGCCACATGTCTGAATTCGGCGGCACCCCTTCACGCAGATCGGCGGGGTCAGGGTCCAAAAACACATGGGATTTGCCACATTTCTGAAATTCGGTGGCACCCCTCACGCAGATCGGTGGGGTCAAGGTCCAAAACACAAAGGATATGCTACATTTCTGAAATGTCCTGGCACCTCTCACGCAGATCGGCGGGGTCAGGGTCCAAAAACACAACGGTTTTGCTACATTTCTGAAATGTCCTGACACCTCTCACGCAGATCGGCGGGGTCAGGGTCCAAAAACACAAAGGATTTGCCACATTTCTGAAATTCGGTGGCACCCCTCATGCAGATCGGCGGGGTCAGGGTCCAAAAACACATGGGATTTGGAACATTTCTGAAATTCCGTGGCACCCCTCACGCAGATCGGCGGGGTCAGGGTCCAAAAACACAAAGGATTTGCCATATTTCTGAAATTCGGTGGCACCCCTCACACAGATCGGCGGGGTCAGGGTCCAAAAACAACTGGGATTTGGAACATTTCTGAAATTCGGTGGCACCCCTCGCGCAGATCCGTAGGGTCAGGGTCAAAAAACACAAAGGATTTGCCACATGTCTGAAATTCGGCGGCACCCCTCACGCAGATCGGCGGGGTCAGGGTCCAAAACACAAAGGATTTGCCACATTTCTGAAATTCGGTGGCACCCCTCACGCAGATCGGCGGGGTCAGGGTCCAAAAACACATGGGATTTGAAACATTTCTGAAATTCGGTGGCACCCCTCACGCAGATCCGCAGGGTCAGGGTCCAAAAACAGAAGGGACTTGCCACATGTCTGTTATTCGGCGGCACCCCTCACGCAGATCGGCAGGGTCAGGGTCGAAAACAAATAGGTCCCGACACTGCTTCACGGCAAAACCAAAGCCTCATGACTTCGCTCATCCATGGCCCATTATCCGAGAGAGGGGGCCAGCGGCAGGGGGCGAAGCCTTTACGGATCATCATCATCATCATCATCATCATCATCATCATCATCATCATCATCATCATCATCATCAGCAGCAGCAGCAGCAGCAGCAGCAGCTGCTCTTGCTCCTCCTCCTCCTCCTCCTCCACCTCCTCCTCCTTTTCCTTTTCGTCCTGCTCCTCCTCCTTCTCCTCCTCCTCCTCCTCCTTTTCGTCCACCTCATTCCTTTCCTCCTTATCCGCGCTTGCCCCGCGCACAGGCGCCGCCGCCCCACCGACGGCGAACGACGGTTGCGCAGCGGCCGCTCGGACCGCCCGCGCCGCCTGGCGAGGGGCAGGCCATGGTCAGCTGGGGGCCTCCGGCGGTGCGAGGCGCGCAGCGATTTTACGCCGCGGCACACACCACATTCGAAACGAAGGCACTTACACGCGACCTTACTCGGGATGTTTTCGCGTGAATGACGGTGCGGACGGCCCTGCTTGTCTGACTTGGTCAAATGAGCGGCGAGACAAATCAACAACACAAACAAGTATCCTGGCGAAGGGCACAACCGTAGAAAGCTGCGGGTACCCCGAAGCAACTGAGCACAAGCTGAGGGGCGAGCCGACATGGAGCGGGTGCGCAATGCTGACCCTGCCACTCGAGCATTGGGTGGAGCTCCCTGCAGGGCCAGGCAACGTGCGAAGGGTGTGCTGAAACGGGCGCGGGTACGTCATGCGGACCCTGCCGCTGGGGCCTTCGGTGGAACTCCCGATGGGGCCACGAAACATGCGAGGGGTGTGCTGAAACCGGCGCGGGTACGCCACGCGGACCCTACCACTGGGACTTTCGGCGGAGCTCCCTGTGAGGCCACGAAACGCGCGAGGGGTGTGCCGAATAAGGCGCGGGTACGCCATGCAAACCGTGCCGCTGGGGCCTTCGATGGACCTCCCTTCGGGGCCACGCAACGTGCGAACGGTGTGCCGCCTCGGGCGCAGGCGCGCCATGCGGACCCTGCCAGCGGGGCCTCTGGTGGAGCACCCTATGTGGCCACGGAACGCGCGAGGGTGTGCTGAACTGGGTGCAAGTACGCCATGTGGACCCTGCCGCTGGGGCCTTCGATGGAACTCCCTCAGGAGGCCACGAAACATGCGAAGTGGGTGTGACGAACCGAACGCAGGTACGCCATGCGGACCCTACCGCTGGGGCCTTCGGCGGGGCTCACTTATGGGGCCACGAACGGTGTGAGGGGTGTGCCGAATCGGGCGCGGGTGCGCCATGCGGACCCTGCCGTTTGGGCCTTCGGGGGAACTCCCTTCGGGGCGACGAAACGTGCGAGGGATGCGCCGAATCGGGCGCGGGTACGCCATGCGGACCCTACCACTGGAGCTTTCGGTGGAGCTCCCGTCGGGGTCACGAAACGTGCGAGAGGCGTGCCGAACAGGATGCGGGCATGCCACACGGAGCCTGCCGCTGGGGCGACGCGGGTGCGGGCACGCCGTGCGGACACTGCCGATGGGGCCTTCGGTGGAGCCCCCTATCGGGCCACGAAACGTGTGCGGGGTGCGATGAACCCAGTGCGGGCGCGTCACGCGGGCCCTGCCGCCGGGGCTTTCAGTGGAGTCCCCTACGGGGCCACGAAACGTGTGAGGGGTGTGCCGAATAGGGCGCGCGTACGCCTCGCGGGCCCTGCAGCCGGGGCCTTCGGTGGAGCCCCCATATGGCGTCACGAAACGTGTGAAGGGTGCGCCGAATCGGGCGCGGGCACGCCATGTGGACCCTGCCGCTGGGTCAGGGGAGGCCCCTCATGGGGCCACAGGCGCGTGTCAGGGGTGAGCCGAACGGGGCGCGGGCACGCCAAGCGGACCCTACTGCTGGGGCCTGCGGTGAACCTCCTTATGGGGCCACAGAACGTGCGAGCGGTATGCCGAATCGGGCGCGGTTGCGCCATGCGGACCCTGCCACTGGGGATTTCGGTGAAGTTCGCCGCGGGGTCACGGGATCTGCGATGGGCGTGCCGGATCGGGCGCCGGCACGCACGATGGCAATGAGATGAGGGTATATGCAAGGCAGAAGCAGGGGTGGGACGAGGTAGGAGCGGGAGGAGGAGGAGGGGGAGGACGACGGTGACGATGATGAGGACGAGAACGAGGACGAGGAGGAGGAGGAGGAGGAGGAGGAGGAGGAGGAGGAAGAGGAAGAGAAGGAGGAAGAGGACAGAAGGGACGCGGGGCGCTGTATCTTCAACACGAGGAGACAACACCGCGGGATGGTTGCTCCGCCTCGTCCCTCAGCGTACGCGGGACGATTCGATCGAAAGTGCTACCGGTCGCGCTTGGCCGCTCTCTTGAGGTCTTTATTCTGCTTCCACGATATCTTCTTCTGCTCCAGCTGCACGAAGACTTTTTTTTGCTGCCCTTAGGAAGCTCCACCGAAGGCCCAATGGGCAGTCATGGTGTATGATGCTGTACAACTCCGGACCTGCGAGCCGTGGCTCCTGACCCAGGCCGGAGTAGAAGTGAATGAAAACGGCGTGGCGTTGCCGCTCCTGGCCGCCTTCGCGGCGCCATGCGCGTCGGAATCACGACGGGCCAGGACGCCCTGTAACGAGGAGGAGGAGGAGGAGGAGGAGGAGGAGGAGGAGGGGGAGGAGGAGGAGGTGGGGAAGCAATCCAAAACACCTGGCGCGGCGCAGGCCAACCTGCCGTAGGCGAGCCGGTGCGCGCAGCCATGGAATCGAGACACTTGCAAAACGGCATAGTTTTACAGCTATGTGGTCACAAGCTCCGTGACTGAACACGGAAACTTGACATTCCCCGAGCACGAGGAGGAAAGACTGCACCGGCCGCTTCGCGCCAGCACGCGGCCTCCGGGCCCAGGAGAGGAGGGCGGACAGGGAAGAGGAGGAAGGAGGAGGGGGAGGGAGCCTCGAGGGAGGAGGGGCAGCAAGCAGGCAGGCAAGCAGGGGGCACCGGGGGGAGCACGGCCGCGGGGCGTGAGCCACCAGACCCCGCTGGTTAGGCGCGCGTGCTCGGGTGGGGGCGGACGGGGGCGGTGGGAAGGGGGGGCCCGCGCCCGCGGGGGTGGGCTGGCCGGCGGCCGGCGCCTTAGTCGCCACCCCCGCCAGGCCAGCAGGCCCTGACGCGGGCGGCCGCCCGCCGGCACAGCGCCACGCCAGCCGCGCTGGCCAGGCGGCGGCACCGCCACGCCCCGTCCGAGCATCCCCTCCGCCAGGCAAGGCGGGTCGCGAGTGCACGGAGGATGGACGTCGTCCGGGGGTGGGGCCGCCCGTAGGCTGACCAGACTAAGGGTTGGTACAGGATGTTCTGGCGGTCCAGAACATCGCTGTAAGGGGCGTAGTACGCCGTCTTGCGCTCGTACATGCTGGAGACGCAGTCGGGGCCGGCGTTGCACGCGTCGGGAGAGGCGATCCCGATGTCGAGCGCCGTGAGCCCGCGCCCCAGCGCCCCCGTGAGTACGTCCGCGGGCCGCAGGCGGGTGCCTGGGATGAGGTTCTGCGCCTCGAGCTCGGTGGCGGGGTCGCAACTCCTGGCGGCCTCGTGCACTTCCGTGCCAGCGCGTGGTGGCCCTTCGTAGCCTCGGCTCTGCTGCAGCAGGGGGAGCGCGAGCCCGCGGAGTCGAGCAGCTCAGCGCCGCAGAGGTGACAGGGCGTGGGCTCGCTGGGGCCGGCGGCGCCGAGGCGCAGGCGGAGCCCTTCCACGAAGTCCTGCTGGTCGAGGAGGGGCCCCTTGTGTCGGCTCAGAGCCCAAAGCCACTCGTGGTTGGTGTCGGGGTGGCTGGAGTCCTCCAAGCGGCGCAGCGCTGGGTCGTTGCCGGCCTGCGCGCGGCGCTCGCGAAGCTCCAGGCGCGCCTGCGTGTCGAGGCGGGCCAGGATGGCCCTCTGGAGGTGGGCGCGGCCGCGGGGGGCAGCAGCCGGGTGCTCGTCGTCCTCGTCCTCGTCGAGAGGGACGACGCCGCTGCCCATGCGCTGGGGCCGGCCGTTCCGTCTGCGAGCGCCGTCGCTGGCGCGTGCGCCAGCGTCGAAGAGGCCGGCCCACCGTTCCTCGCATTGGTCGGCCTCGTCTGCGAGGAATTCCAGAAGCTGTCGTCCGGGGGTCGGAGGGAGGAACCCCATCAGCGTGACAGCGGCGGCCTCCTCCGCGCGCCGGCCGTAGGCCCCCATGACCGCGGCCGCGGTGCACAGGCCGGCCAGGGCGAGGTGCTCGGCCATCTCGCGGACGCGCGGGCGAGAGCTCACGCGGCTGGCGAGGAAGGCGGCCGTGGACACGCGCTCCGCAGTGCGTAGACCGAGGCCGCCCCAGGAGACTCCAGCGGCGGCTTGCTCCCAAGCGTCGTCGGGCAGGTCGCCGCCAACGATGTTTTCCACAGCGGTGCGCAGATCCCTGTCGAAGGTGGCCAGCCAGTCGTGGCCGATCCTGTCCCCGTTGAGGCGCAGCTGGTAGGAGAGCTTCGACACGTCGGCGCACAGTCGGGTCAGGACGAGCTCGGCGGGGGCGTGGTTGACGGTGAGGAGAGCGAGGCGGGCGGCCCGGGCCTTCTCCACGACCGCTTTGACCTCGTCGCCCAGCGCGTCTGCGCTGCCGAAGGGGGCGCCCAGGGCGAGCGCGGGGCCCCGTGGGTCGAGGACGTTGCAGGTGGCGCGCACGTAGTCGGTGCCCCAGCCGTCGTGGAGGTGGCGCTGCTCTTGCGGGCAGAGCAAGCGGCAGGAGCTCTTGGCCGTGCCCTCGGCGACAGGGCCGCGGGTGCCGCCGAAGCGGGCGAGGCTGGCGTCCAGTGCCCTGAGCCAAGGGTCAAGGTCTGCTGGCCGGACGAATACCTGCCCGTCGTCCACGCACCACTCCTCGCACGCCCGCAGGCCGGCGGCGGCGGGGGCGGCCGCGCCGGCGGCGCCTCCCGGGACTGGCGCGGCAGCGGCAAGGGCAGCGGCGGGCGCCGAGGCAGGCGGGCCCGTGGCGGCAGCTGGGGGCGCCGGGCCGGGGGCGGCAGGGGGCCGGCTCGTCGGGTCGGCGGCAACGGGCGCCGCGGCGGGCGCGGGCGCGGGCGCGGCGGCGGCGAGGGCGGGCGCGCGCGCGGCCGCGAGAGTGAGCCCAGCCTGGACGGTGCCAAATCCGTCGCCCTGCTCGGCCCCGCGGTCGGTGTCGAAGAGTTCGCCAGAAGGCAGCTCGGTGGTGGAGGGCTTGCGGTGGTGCCAGTTCGTCCAGGCGGCGATCTCCGGGAAGGCGCCCGGGTCAATCGCGTCGCGCATAAAGTCCCACTCCACGGAGCCGAACATGTTGACCAGATCGACGTCGAGGGCGACCAGGGCGGGGATGGCCCTGGCGGCGGCCAGCTCCTCCACGGTGCCGCGCCAGTGCGCCATCGCCACACAAGCGCCAGGAACGCCAACACCCCACTGGCGAGCCTGCCGGAACACGGCCCGCAGCTTGTGCAAGTGTTTCTTGGTGTAGCGTTTGGCGA